CGTCTGCAACTCGATCTGAAAATCCATCTTCCGTTCCTGGTTTTGCGTGACAACGTCGCGCAGCTACTTATTATATAGTTATATAGTTTATAAAGTGTAATACGCTTACGCAGGACGACCTATAGAATAGTAATCAGAACACTTAATCACTTAGTGATAACAATAAATTATTTATTACGCACATTTAATCAGATCACCCTTAAAAATATATTTAAGATTCAAGCCACTCTTAATTAAATCAATCCTTAAACTACTACCCCTCCGATCAACTAACAATTAAATCAATCCTTAAACTACTACCCCTCCGATCAACTAACATCGATCTGACCATAAATTTTATATAGAATCCTACCAATATTACTTCTCCTAATACAGTAATAGTAATTAGATAATTATCTGTTATACGTTAACTATTGAAACTAAACTGTGCAACGTTACCCACTCTCCCGATTTACAATAGTAACACTAACCAGGTTTCCCTCTAACAATATCTAAGTATTCTAATTACAAATTATCCCAAAAAAACATAAATACAGAAAATTTGAATATACTTAAAAAATAAAACAGACAGATAAAATTGGTGGCGTTTCGCGCCACCTATAATGCTACGTAGTACTATTACATTTCTGTTATATTAGGTAGTCAAATCAGGGCGGTGAAGCCGCCCATATAAGCAAGTTTTAGTTAATAAAAAAAAAAATTAGAAAATGGTGTTCTTAAAGAACATTGAGAACATAAGGTTTCATACACTTATCCAAACTACATAATTTATTTTTAATATAAATGCTTATCAATATAAGCTATATGTGTTTATTTTATTATAAAACTTAGTTAAAAAATAACATAATAGATTAAAAAGCAAACAGTAACTATTTTTAAATTTTTTACTAAATTTATGAAAGTGAAGAAAGATCTCTTAAACTAATTTTAATATTCAGCTTAGAAACCGATTTCAACATACAATAATGATACTTTATCTTTTCATTACTTTTAACTAATTCCATATTATACTTGCTAAAGAATAGAACAACAATAGATTTCATCATATTTAATGCCATTAATCTTCCAACACAAGTTCTGGTTCCACAACCGAACGGATTATAAGCAATCTTTTGTAATTCCGAAATTTTATCTTTACTTAAAAATCTATCAGGATTAAAAGTTTCTGGATCATCCCAATATTCAGAATTATTATTAAGAGTTTGATGATCCAACCAAATTTTAGTTCCACTTGGCCAGTTATATCCAGCAATATTTTCTTCTTCATCGGAAATTATTACAGACATTGGAAGCAAGGTAGCATGACGCAATGTTTCTTTAACCACTGCTTCGATATAATGACAATTTTCGAGTTTTTCAAAGGTGAGTTCAATAGTTGAATTAGGACCAAAAACTTCATCGATTTCTTTATGAATCTTGGCAAGAACTTTTGAATTTTTCACAATAGAGTATAGTAAAAAACTTGTTGCACTAGGCATCTGTTAAATATAAATATTATAAATATATATTAGTGATATATTTTAATTTATATCTTATATAACATATATTGTATTTCGATCGATTGCTTCGAATTGGATTTCAGATTAAAAAGAATTAATCAGAAATTTTGGGTTATACTTAACCCGACTCGAAATAGAATCAAAGGTTATATAGTTCCGAAAATCATGTTATCTGACTTTTCCAGGTTGGATTCGGGTCGGGTTGAAACTTCAACTAGAAAGTTATCTAACCAGACCTGTCCGATAATTTTATAACATGAATTGTTAATATTTACCACATCTGTACCGCCCATGACAATGTCACGTGTAAGACCATGAACTTCTTCAGCAGTTATAAAATTCACATTGTCAACATTTTCAGATTCAGAATCCTTTAAAGTATGAGCTGTCAATAAATCTAACAAACTCGAGTCTAATTCAGCACCTTCTTCAATCTCTTTT